CACTAGATGTGACTTCCTGTGTTTAACTGTATTTTTCATAGTTGTTGCTTCTTTTTTTTTAAAAATAATTTAATTAACTAATTTATTTTTAGTTTTCAATATTCACTTCCACAAGATTTTGAGTTACAAATTTTCTCCCCACCTCTCCCACTCCAAGACCATGTGCATTCTGAATACGTCTTCTCCCAACCTGCCCTCCCTTCCATCTCTCCCCCCTTTCTCTTATCCCCTTCCCCTTCAATTTTCCTGTAGGGCAAGATAGATTTCTATACCCCATTGCCTGTATATCTTATTTCCCAGTTGCATGTAAAAACAATTTTTAACATTTGTTTTTAAAACTTTGGGCTTCAAATTCTCTCCCTTCCTCCCTGCCCACCCACCCTCATTGAGAAGGCAAGCAACTCTATACATGTTATACATGTGTAGTCATGCAAAACACCTCCATAATAGCCATGTTGTGAAAAACTAACTACATTTCCCTTCATCCTATCCCACCCCCCTTTTATTCTATTCTTTCCTTTGAGCCTGTGCCTCCTCAAAAGTGTTTACTTCTGATTGCCCCCTGCCTCAATCTGCCCTCCCTTCTATCATTCCCCTCTCTTATTCCCTTCCCCCCTATTTTCCTGTAAGGCAAAATAGATTTCCATACCCAATTGAGTGTGTATGTTATTCCCTCTGTAAGCCAAATCTGATGAGTGTAAGACTCGTTCATTCTCTCTCACCTGCCCCTACTTCCACTCCACAATAAAAGCTTTTTCTTGCCTCTTTTATATGAGAAAATTTACCCCATTCTACCTCTCCTTTTCTCCTTCTCCCAGTACAATCCTCTAACCCCTTAATTTTATTTTTTAGATATCATCCCTTCATATTCAACTCACCCTGTGCCCTCTGTATTATATATGTATGTATATATATATATATATATAACATATATATATATATATATTCCCTCCAACACTACCCTGATACTGAGATAGGTCTCAAGAGTTACAAAGATCATCTTTCCATGTAGGAATGTAAACGGTTCAATAGTTGTTGCTTTTTAAGGCATGATGATATTCCATTACCTTCATCTACCATCATTTTTTCAGCTATTCCTCAGTCCTTTGGTATATTGATTTTTTCCAGTGTTTTGCTATTATGAGTGATGTTACCAAGAATATTTTTGTATTTTTAGAGGTATTTTTTTTATTGCCAATAGCCTTGGTGAATAATTCTAAGAGAAGGGATCATTAGAGGAAAAGATAAGAAGTTTTAAAAATTCTTATAATATAATGTTATATTTCTTTTTTAAATATTGCACCAATTCAGTTTCATCAATAACAAACTGGTGAGACTATTTTTAAGTAGTCTAGCCAACATCAAATTTTATCATTTTAAACTGTATTTGACAGTTTAATAGATGCAAGGTAGCCTTTCATTTCTTAACATTTTTTCAGGTATTGAGCGATTTGTTTTTTTCCTAGAACTATCATATCCTTTAAGCATCTGTCACATTAAGGAGTAGCTCTTATTCTTATACATTTGTGTCAATTTTATTTGACTTTTATCAGTAATGTTTATAGCTAAGATTTTTTTCTCGATCTTTTTTTTTCTTTTTTATTCTATGTTTTGCTTTTTGTTTTGCACAAACTCTCCATTTAGATACAATCAAATACATTTATTTTGTCTCCTATAATTTCTTTTACATATTGAATAGCCAAACATTTCCCATGTCTCCATAACTGTGATAGATATACATTGTATAATCTTACTTTACTTTATTAAACTATTTGTTTTGTGAAACAAAATAATTTTATATATGATAATGCTATAATCTTCCTTGTATCAATAATAGTGATCCTATCTCAACTTTTAACATGCATTACACTAAAGATAATTGCTATATCTTATACTATTAACTCAACAATTTTGCAAAAGTTCTATTTCCTCACCTATTCCCTTGTTTGAAATGGGAAATTACTCTGGAATTTCTTTCTCCATTTTCTTTGTTGTTGTTGTTCAGTCCTTTTCAGTTGAATCTGACTCTTTGTGACCCATTTGGGGTTTTCTTGGCAAAGGTACTAGAGTGGTTTGCCATTTCCTTCTGCAACTCATTTTACAGATGAGAAAACTGAGGCAAACAGGGTTAACTGAGTTGCCCAGGGTCACACAGCTAATAAATGTCTGAAGCCAAATTTGAACACAGATCTCCTGACTCCAGGTGAGGTCCTTTAGCCACTGTGCCACCTAGCTGCCCAGTATCACTCATTTTATTCTCTTTTTTTCTTTCAGTCTTTATCTGTAGCGCCCAAAGTCAGAATACTATTCCTCTCTTTTCCTCTCCTCCTTTATCCTCCCACAAATTTGTATAATTCAGTTGTCAATCAAAGCTAGGGGTGGGGAACTTGCAGCCTCAAGGCCACATGTGGCTCTTGAGGCTGATTCAGTCAAAGGGCCGCACTTGAAGACCTAGAGAGCCACGTGTGGCCTTGAGGTCCCAGGTTCCCCAACCTTGATCAAAGCCATGTTATTATTCTTGTGTTATCCTCTCATGGTAATTCGACAAGTTGATCACAACTGTAAAGAGCCCGTGGATTTTCCTACTTATCTCTGGCTCTATGCTTTTTTTCTTTTTCTTTTTCTTCTTCTTTTTTTTTTTAGTTATACATAGTAAAACCAACCTCAAGGTTGGCTCTGTCCTCCACATATTGTTCAAACTCTTGTGAATTCTTAAGTGACTGTCTTTTGTCTTCAGAAAGAATGCTTGCCTTTTGAATGGAAGCTCTCTCTATTTTTGTTGTATGATATTCCAGGTTCTTTAGTTATTTCTCATGTTATAGAAAAATCTTGAATAATCTAAGCAGGTTTGAAAGTTTGTAATAACTTTCTTCTTGGCTGCTTGTAAAATCATCTCCTTACCATTATAGCTTGATAATAATTTGTTTACTTTGGTTTTCATCCTGACTGGTAATTTGTGGGGGTTTTTTGTCTACTTTTTTTTTCAATATTTCTCCTACTTTTTTTAGTACAATTTAGTAAAAGAGTTAAACTCTTCTTTCAGGAAACCAAAAACAAATTATTTTTCCCCTTTTTATTCTATCCTCTTGATGCATCATTTTCATCTGCATAGATTCTAAATTTTTTTCTATTTCTATAATTTTATGGTATGTTTTCTGCTTTTACTGGCATTTCTACCATTCTATTCTCTAGTGAAATAATTTTTTTTATTGTTTATTTAAATAGACTCTATTTGCTTACATTTTCACTGATGTTTCTCAAATGTTACATTTCATCTTCAAATTATCCAGAAATTTCTTATTCATACTCATTCTTCCTTTAGTCCCTTTAATGAGTGCCTTAAGAAAATTCAGTTTTCCTTCTAGTGTTTGTTTTGGTATCGTCTGAATTTCTTTTTTTCTTCTGGCATATTTTTCTCTGTTTCTTTTAAGCGATTATGTTTTTCATTGTATTAGAATGCTTGTTTGTTTATTTCTTTGAGTATTTTTTTCTAAAGCTAACTTTATTTTGAAGATTTCTAGTAGTTTTTTTCCCTTGATGACATTTTTATTTCTATTTTTGGTGGAGCTATAGAGGAACTAGTATCTTTTGTGACATCTCGCTCCTACATATTCTCAAAAGTCTCAATGCCTTGAATCTTAGAATGTCACACCAGAACACAACCAGCAAGTGGTTGGTTACCTAGCATCAACATGATGACCTTGAGACACAGGGAGGGAGGTCATTGCCTCTAGAGACAATCCATTCCATTTTTAGACAGCTGTAATTGTTAATAAATTCTCTTATGGTGAGCCAAAATCTTTCTCTTAAAAGGAGTGAAGTTAAAAGCTTCACTTCATAGAAACTACATTTACCCTGTGGGGTTGGAAAAGATTGTCTCCAAAGTCCTTCTAGCTCTGAAATTCTGTGTTTTAAGGTTCTAGTCTTCCTCAGATCTGAGATTATAGATTTCTGTAATTTAGTCCAACCTTGTCACTTTATAGCTGGAGAAACTGAGGCACAGAAACAATAAGTGAATTTGCCCAAAGGCCCACACCTAATGGGTAATAGAACCAATTCCAGACTATTCATTAAGCCATGATCACCACTTCCTCCCATCTCTTAGTCAAAAATATTCTCAGTATTTCCATACTTTAAATACTTCCCCAAACTCTACCCCCTTTCTCAGGATTATTGTAAGGATGAATATTGTAATATTCCTGGTCAACAGGACTCAGAATATTCCTGATATAGTTTGTGTATGTTCATGCTCTAAAGAGGCAGTATGGTACAGTGGGGAGAGCAATGGACACTATGACTGGGGAGTGAGAAGACATGGATTCAAATCCTGATATACTTACCATCTGTATAAATTTATGCAAGTCATTTTCCCTCTCCAAATTTCCCTTGAATTAAAGCTGTTAAAGCAGAGAGAGATAATGACCTATCAAGATTATTATAGAAGAGATTCCTGAACATGGCTGAGAACTGGACTCTATCACCTCTGAGTTCTCTTTCAAATTGTAGATCCTGTGATTGTAAGAGCATCAGCCTGGGAAAAAGGACACCAGAGTTTCTATTCTCCATTTCCCTTGATTAGCTTCATCACAAACCATTTCCTGTCTCTGGGTCTCTGTTTCTTCATCTACAAAATGGGGATTGTTATGCTTGCCTCACTTTCCTCATAGGATTTTGGAGGATTAAGATGAGATACTGTAAACTGATCACTTTAAAGCACTATATAAACGTGTTATCATTAGGAGGTGTAGCATGAAGAAAAAGCTCGGAGTCTAGAGGTCCTGGGATTGAATCCTACCTTTGCAATTTATTGTCCATGTGTCTTAGAGCAAGTCACTTTAACTCTCTTCTATATAATGAGAGGATTAGACTCAATGAGTTCCAAGTTTCCTTCCAGCTCTAAGTCTGTGATTCATTGTTATTATTATTACTTCAGTTCCATGACAGCTAGACAGAGAATAATTAGAAGATGTGCTGAAATTTCTTATTCTTCCCATTTACAGGAAACCTTTCCCCATCGGTGACAAAGTGACATTCAGTGGCAAAGAATGTGTTTGCCAGACGTGCTCGAACTCTATGATCAGTGCCAAGCCCATCAAGGTTCATGGACCAAGCCGTAAGTGCAGGCCTACTTCTGTTCCCTCTCGTGCCCAGACTCTGTTGTCTCTGGACACTGCCCATTCATGGCATGCTTGCCTGCTGTGTGGCCCCACTAGAGACTGGGCATGTTGTCTAAATGTATTATCGGGGACTTGTAGGGAAAAAAATCATAATTTTCCCTGCTCTTCTCAGAATTAGATCATACAACCCGTTACCTTCCTTTGTAACAAACCCAGTCAGGACAATTATAAAATTAAGCTAATTTTCTTGTCACCAAGTAACAGGTAAAGCTGGAACAGCCCATTAGAAACCTGAAAATCAAAAGATTTCTCTCAGTGTAGCCTGATGTGTGTCTGTGGTTAATGTGCCTAATTAGAGTATATGGACCGTGTGTATGCTCTCCAAACCCCACGTCAGAGAAAATAACTACTGACTACTGAACAAATGAAGACCATGATATGTTGATGAATCCATGACTAAATTATGTGGGTACTCTAATACTAATCAAAACTCCTCAACCTGTAAAATTCTTACCCATTTTTAAACCATTACTTTCAAACAAAATCATAATGATAATAATAAGTGATTGATCGGTCAGTCAATAAACATTTATTAAGTGTCTACTGTGTGCCAGGCACTGTGCTAAGTGCTGAGAATACTGTACCCACTCTCAAGGAACAGTCTAGGAGAACCAGCATGTAAACAACTATGTACAAACAAACTATATACAGGATAAATTGGAGAAAATCCACAGAAGGAAGGCCCTAGAATGAGGGGGATCAGTGGTGTCACCTTTGAAGGAAATGTTTAATGGTAATCAAAGGGCTCTTGTTCAATCATGTTCTATTCAGCATTATTAAAACTTATTTTATTTGATATCATTTCACAGATTAAATGGCATAATGAACAAATTTGTTAATGACACAACATTGAGAGAGAACTAACACATCAAATGAAAGAATCTATATCCAAAAAGATTTCAACAGACTAGAACAATGGCCCAAATCTAATATGGTGAAATAGAATAAGAATAAAGTCCTGCATGTAGGTTCAGGAAATGAAATGCGCAAGTACAGAATGAAGCAAACATGACTAGATAGCAGTTCACAGTTCATGTGAAAAAGACCTGGGGTTTTTAATGAATAGGAATCTCAATATGCATAAACATTGTGATCCAACAACCTGAAAAAAATAATATGGTCTTAAGCTGTATTAATAGAAACACGTTATGCAAAATAAGAGAAATGACAGCCCTACTAACTCCCTCATGCCCTGGTCAGGTCACATCTGTCAAATTGTATTGGCACATTTTAGGAAGGATTTTGACACACTGAAAAACAGCCAAAGTAGGACAACTGGGAGCATGTTTTTGTATGTGAAACAAAGTAAAGAACTTTGGTTTAAGAAGACATGGATGCTTCTCTATCTCCCTGAAAATTGGGAGACCTTTGTTCTAAACCTGGGTCTGCTGCTGACTAGCTTAATGACGGTACTTATCATCCATTACTTTCTGACTCTGGGCCTCAATTTCTAAACTGGTCAAATGAAGGTTTGATGGTCTTTCAGTTCCATCATTCTGAGATTCCTTACAGAATTATAATGTGTTAGCATTGTAGAATCTCAGAGATAGAAGGAACCTTAGGGGTGTCATCTAAGTCAACCCTGTAATCCCCTCTAATGATCCAGTCTCCACTTGCATTCCACGGATGAGGAAATCATTGCTTTTTGAGGCACTCCCCATTCCACTTTCAAATGAAAATTAAGCAAATATTGATTAAGTACACACTACTTGCAAGGCACCATACAACAAATTTCAAAGATAAAAATGAAATAGTTCCTGCCTTCAAAGAGCTTACAATCTACTGGGGGTTACAACATGTAAACTGATAAGGAAATATGATAATTGGAGGAGGGATAGATCCCTAAGAACTAGTGGAGATGGTGTCTGAGCTGATTCTTAAAACCAAAGATTCAGAGATGAGGAGGAAGTCTGTTCAGGGTATGCGCAAATGCACAGAGGTGAAGATGAAACATGAGGTTCAGAAAATGGGTAAGTCGTCCACTTTTGCTGGATCTTAGAGTTCATGGAGAGTGGTATGAAACAAGGCTGGAAAGGTAGACCGGTGCCAGACTGAAGAAGGCCTTAAAAGCTCAGACAAAATACATTTGTATTTTTCCCAGAGTCAATGAGGAACCACTGAAGAATTGTACCTTAGGAAAAAATATTTCGAAATCTGTTTGCCATATAGATCAGGGAGAGGAAAGAGTAGAAGCAGAGAAAGCAATTAGGAGACTATTGTGCAAGGAGTCCTGTGCGAGGTGATGAGAGTCTGAATTAGGGTGGTGCCATCGTCAGTGGAGGGGAGGGAATGGATGTGAGAGATGTTGTAGAGGCAGAGCCCGCATGATGTGGCAACTATTTGAATATAGGAGCAGAGGGAAGTCTCAAGGATCACTGAGATTTTGAACTTGGAACAGTCCTTCGGTTGAAGGCAAACCCATCCTCCCAGTCCCTCAGGCTCACAACCTAGGGGTCATCCTCGACTCTTCATTATGTCCAACAGCCCATGTCCAATCTGTCACCAAAACCTATCGATTTCACCTTTGCAACATCTCTCACGTATGTGTCCTTCTCTCCTCTGACCCTGCCACCACTCTGGTGCAGGCCCTTATCACCTCCCACCTGGACTATTGCATTCGCCTGTTGGTGGGTCTGCCTAGCTTGTGTTTCTCCCCACTCAGATCCACCCTCCATTCAGCCACCAAAGTGATTTTCCTAAAGCACAGGTCTAACCGGGTTACCCCACCCTTTTACTTAATAAACTCCAGTGCCTCTCCGTCACTATTGAATACATTCAAAGTCCTTTATAAACAAGCCCCTTCCTACTTTTCCAGTTTTGTCGTTCACTCCCTGCCAACTACTCTTTTATTCAGTGATGCTGGTCTCCAGGCTATTCCACAAACAAGACACTCCATCTCTCCATTTCGGTAGTTTCTCTGGCTGTCCCCCATTCCTGGAATTGTCTCCCTCTTCATCTCCTCCTTCTGGCTTCTCTGGCTTCCTTTAAGTCTTGACTAAAATCCCACCATCTACAGGAAGCCTTGCCCAACCCTTCTTAATTCTAGTGCCTTTCCTCTTGTTTCCTATTTATCCTGTACATAGCATGTTCATATATACATGTTTGCTTGTTGTCTCTCCCTCCATTAGACTGTGAACTGCTTGAGGGCAGAGATTATCTTTTGTCTCTTTTTGTATCCCCAGCACTTAGGAAAGCAACTGGCACATAGTCAACACTGAATCAGTGTTTATTGACTGAATGACTTACTCACACTCTCAACAGAAAGATGGCAAGGTCCTTGAGAGCAAGGGGCAGATAAGTGATGCAGTGAACATATACGTATATGCATACATATGTATATGTATATATATGCATATATACATATATATAAAATAAGCCCTGGAATCAAGAGAACCTGAGTTCAAATCCTGCCTTAGACACTTATTAAGTGTGTTACCTTGGGTACTTAACTCTGTTTACCTCAATTTTCTCATCTGTAAAATGAGCTGGAGAAAGAAATGGCAAGCCTCATCAGTATCTCTAACAAGAAACCCCCAAATGGGGTCACGGAGAGACAGGCATGACTGAAACAACTCAACATACCTTGAGAGCAGAAGCTGTCTTTTGCTTTTGTTTGTACCCTTGTCACTTAGAATGGTGCCTGGTCTACATGGTAGACACTTAAAAAGTGCTTGTTGACTGACTCATTGACACACTAGTACCCTCAACAGAAAGAAGTTATTTAGGAGAGGTAGGTCTAAGAGGGAAGTGAGTTACATTTTGAACATGCTGAGATTAAGATGCTGATGGGACATCCAAATAGAAATTACCATTAGACAGATGGAGGATATACAAGGCTGACATTCAGAAGATAAGGACTGGTTATATAGATTTGGGAGCCATCTGCTTTGGGAATGGGATTTCTATATTATTGTGCCCAGCCTTTGGAAGTGAATGTGCTGAGTGGCTACATGGCTAGTTTGACTGCTTCCTTTTTTCTGATCTTTTGTTGGATGTATCTCCATTCCTCTGTATCATATTCTTTAAAATTTCAAGAATCCGTTCTTTCATCCAGGAAACATTTTTTTTTTCTGATAGATCTCAAACCTTTCACTTATTCATTCACTCACTCACTCATTGATTCATTCATTCAACAAACATTTATTAAACCAGGCACTGTGCTAGGCACTGAGAATATGAGCACAAAAACAAAACTGTCCCTTCCCTCAATGAATTTATATTCTGTTGGAGGTAGCGAACAGCACATTCACAGATTCTATAAATATAAAATGTCTGTAAAGTAAATACAAAGTAATAGTTGGGTGGGTACTACCAACTGAGAGGTTCAAAATGGCCATGTGTAGGAAGTGGCGCATGAGCTGAGCTTTGAAGGAAGCTAGGAATCCTGAAAAGTGGAGATGAGGAGAGAGTGCAGACATGAAGGACAGCCTGTACAAAGGCATGAGGATGGGAGATAGAATGATAAGGGTGGCTTGTACCAGAGGGGAAACCAAAGGGAGGCTAGTTTGCCTGGAATGTAAAATGCGTGAAGTGAAGTAATATGCAATAAACCTTAAATAACAGTAGACCAGACCCAAAGAGTAAATGATTTTAAATGCCAAGCTGAGGGGTTTATACTTCCTCCTAGAGGCAGAAGGGAGCCCCTGGCACTTCATGAGCAGGGAATGACCTGTTATATCCTGGGCTTTAGAAATATCAGTTTAGCGGCTTTGTGGAAGACAGATTAGAGTGAACAGAGGCTGAAGGAAGGGATTCCAATAAAGATAACTTAGTAAAAGTTCTCATGAATTGCTATAGAGGAAAAAATAATTCATCATTAATAACTGTCTAATGAGGGGCCTCTCTACACTGAGTTGAGTTGGTTTTTGGACAACAGATACACAATCTGTAGTCAGACCCTTATTCAAACCTTATTTAGCTTGGTGAGGCTCTCCTGGAATAACATCCATGACTAGCTAAGGAACTGAAGAAAGACTTGGTCATCATCTTCGCCATAATAGAATAATAGTTCAAATTTCACCAGTACTTAGAGTCATAGCTGTCTAAGTTGGAAATGACCTTAGAGAATCTCTGGCCCAGTCCCCTCATTTTACAGATAATAAAACTAGGGTTGTGAAAGAAATGACTTTCTTGGGGTCACACAGAAATAATGAATGACAACCAGTGATCGAGCTCTGGCCCCTGACTCCAAAGCCAATGCTCTTTTCTCTATACCAGACTTTATAGTTATGAAATACTTCTTGCAAATTATCTTATTTGATCCTCACTATGGCCCTTTGAGGCAAGGAGTACAACTCTTCTAACCTCAGTTTTATAGATGAGGAAACTGGGTCCCAGAAAGGCAATTTAACTTCCCTAAGACCACCCAGCGAATAAGCATCAGAGCAAGAACCTGAACTGGATCATGGGACTCTAAAATCAGGAGTCTTTCCCCTACACAACTGGCTCTGAGTTACATCCTGATCACCTCCATACCTGTGAGTCCCATCGTTTTGGAAAATCATAATTAATAATAATCATAAGGTACTTTAAGGTTTGCAAAGCACTTCATAATATTATCTCTTTTTATTTTCACAACAACCCTGACGGCTAGATACTATTATTATCCCTAATTTTACAGATAAGGAAACTGAGGCCAACAGATGCTAAGTGATTTGCCCACCAGCAAATAAGTGTCTGAGGCCATATTTGAACCCAGGTCCTCTGACTTAGATCAGGGCTCTCTCTAGTGCACCATCTCTCTCCTAATTTTGGCAGTCAGGTGGTACAGTGGATAGA